AGTAAAGATGTCCGCACTTCTGGACACTGGAGCAATGGTTAACCTTGTTACGGCAGCCGCTATTCGTAAATTACAACAGAAGCGGGGCGATAGCTACTTGAGTGACAGGATTATTCAAACGAACCTAAGCTCTGCTCGCGACGCGTCTGAAAACACGACGATGATATCGGGAAGCGCAGGTCCGAGGATTAGTTGGTTAAACGAGAATGATGTAATGGAGACGAAGACTTGGCCGTGGGCACGACGTTGGCTTCGTCGAAGAAGTGGGGCAAAGAGACGTTAAGGCTCGAGCAAATGTGGCAACATCTGGTGGGGAATGTCTATAGTGCAGAAAGAATAATAGTGCCACCATACTCAAGGCACATCGGATAGACGTATTATTTGGGGATATCTTGCTTCTTCTAGGCCATTTGCGCAGGAGGATTTAATAAAATCAGACAAAAATAATTTTTATTTGGAAATTCGTAATGATATGGAAGAACCTAAGCTGATTAGGAAAAATGGAAAATTAGGTGAGCTTTGCGCGGTTAAAGTAATGGATGTTTCATGTGAAGGTGGAGAATTCGTTACCAGGCAGATTGATCTAGATTTCAGCGAGCGAGCTAGTAAAATTTTGCAACTGCTTGGAACCGAAGAGCTACAGATCCAGGAATCGGATAAGCAACAATTAAAAGACATACTGCGGATGTTTGCAGGTGTTTTTGCTTTAAGAGATGATGAGTTGAGTAAGGCCGAGGGCGTAATTTGCGATGTAGATGCAGGAGATGGAAGGCAGATACGACAAAACCTTAAGCAGATTCCTCTGCCATTACGGGACACTGCCAAGGTGATACTGCTAGACTTTTTAAAACGAGATGAAATTTGCCCAAGCTCTAGCCCCTGGAGTAGCCTTATTGTCTAAGTAAAGAAGCACAGTGACACGTTACGTTTCTGTATTGATTATAGGCAAGTGAATCAGGTGGTAAGGCTTGACGCATACCCTCTCCCACATACTGATAGCCTCCTGCATAGCCTTTGGGGAACAAAATTGTATTCTAAATCCGACTTCATGCCTGGATACTGGCAGTGTGCGATGAGTGGTTTTGTGTTGAAAACGCTGAGATTGGCTTTGCCAATCCTAGCGTTTTCAACACCTGGAGGACATTATGAATTTAACGTATTGCTTTTTGGATTGGCAACCTCGCCTGCACTGTTTAAGCGAATGACTGAGGATGTTTTTAACGAGTTGATAGGCAAAAATGTATTCTTGTATATTGACGACATACTAGTCGCTACGGATGAGGTCAACCAACATATCAAACAATTCAGGAAATGTTAGGGAAGTTAGCGGTAGCTAACTTAAATGTTTAAGAGTGAAATTAAATTTCTGGGACATGTGCTTTGCAAAGAGGGCATTAAGGTGAACGCGGATAAAGTCGAGGTGATGATCAGCTTCCCTGGACCGTGTACGGAGAAGCAACTTCGTAAATCCTTAGGGATATGTGGATATTACAGAAAATTTATCAAAAGGTACGCGTTCCTTGCCAACCCTTTTTTTGACATGCTAAAGAAAGGTAACAAATTCGATTGGGAAGATACCGCTATCCAAGCTTTTAATAATTTGAAGAGGGAACTGAGTTCGACTGTGGTCCTGGCACAGCCAGACATCGAGGGAGCTGTGAACGGGGCAAACCCATTACAAATAAATACGGATGCTTCCTCCGCAGACTCGGGCGCAGTGCTTACGCAGAGGGGTGCGAATGGTCAACAGCATCCTAGAAATTACGCATCAAAAGTTTGTTCGAAAACGACGAAGCGTTAGCGGTAATTTTCGCTGTACAGAGATTCAAATACTATATTTGCGAAGTCAAGTGAAAGTACATACTGAACACCAATCGCTAGTATCACTCTCTAGCAGGGTGAATGTCTCGAATAGGATAATGAGATGGGCTCTGGAGTTGCAAGCATACGGGGTAGTGATTAAATATATACCCAGGCTGGAACGAACCAGGCGAGCCGGTGCGATTACGCGTTTTTGCACTTCCCGTGCCGTAGCAAGATCGCAAGGAAACAAAGTAGCTAACCGTGTGAAATACTAGCCCTCGAAGTTCGGGAAGTCAATTGTGCAACTCCGTGGTATGTCAGTTGTAGGTGTCGACTTCAGTGGCCCGACAAATGGAAAGTTGCTGGTCCGCAAAAAAAGGTCACGCCAGAAGAGTTAAATTTAAAACTTTTTAGCCGCACATGAGCAGGGAACATATCCTTAAAATTAAAGCATTCAGCTTTTCCCGTTCCCAAGTTAGCAGTTTCCCATCAAAATTTTAACTTGTCCGTACGTGAGTATCGGACGGTTTTAAGGAGCTGATTTTAAAATTTTTTAGTCATACATAGGTAGGGAACATAACCCTAAAGTTTCAGCTCC